TATTTATTATACATTTTATTTATAATAAATATATATTGTTTTTCTTTTTCAATAATCCATTTAACTCGGTTGTATGTCACAATACGGGAAAAAAAGATCTGTCACTTCTTATGTTACATTGCGACTTTAATGTAAATAAATGTCATATCATTCACTTTCATGTTTCCTTCTGTGGAACCCAAAAAGTGAATTATTGTAAAATGTTATGGCCTCTCTTTTTAATATACCTGTAATAAAAGCGAATTTGACAAAAAAAAGGAACCATAAAAGTGGTTCATAAGACTTGTGTACTGAATTACAGTCTTCCAGAGGCATATAAAAATTAAAATGCAAATTCTATTAAAATGTGGAGTTTACTATGCCTTGTTCTCAACAGTTGGGAGCACGATGGAGTATCTTGAGTAAGACACAAATCTTTCCTTATCCCTTTCCTGAGGCTGAATTATAATGCATGTGAAACAAGCCTGTCAGATTACATTTGTATTTATATTTCTGTCACACAGGTTTTACTTGACAACATTTTAATTGGCTAAGTTTGCTGCTTGATTAAAGCTGTCACATACAAGATATAAAAACAGAGCCGTGATACTGTTACTGCAGTTGTTACTGTTGTCATTAGCTATTCTATTTGAATTAGTGTCCCTGAATAAGCATCAGAAAGGGGGCGACAGCCTCGACTGCCAGAGACTTAATGAGCTCACACATGCACATTGTTGCTCATATCAGTGTAGGTATGGAGTATGTGCTCGATATTCAAAATATAAATCATACCACCACCCTAATGACTGAGAACCACAAGTTTTTAGGTTCTAATTTAGCTTTAATAACCTTGTTTCTGGTCTTGTTTTTTATTATTATAATAGATAGATAGACAGACAGACAGACAGACAGACAAACAGATTTTTATTTATAGATTTTTTAAAAGTGATTTTAGTACCTTAACTTAAACTTATTTTATTTCAGTTAGTTGCCAGGGTCACATTTCTAACATTCATGTAAGATTTTTATGTTTTTCATCTAATATTTAGGTTACTTTATTTCAGTATACAGCCATTAATGAAAATTATTTTAATAGTTTTAGTTAAAAATAACAACATTCTGAATCATTTACAGGTATTTTAACAGATATGTTACCATCAACATGAATGCAGTAAATACATTCATTCAAATGTCACCAAAAAGTGCTGATATTATGCAAATTCCCATTTTTCTGTGGGAATTTGCAAGGCTGAGTGTACACATTCCCTCTTCACCCAATGTTATAAAACCATATTTTTTGCAAAAGCATTTTATAGCTCATAAGCTCCATATAATACACATATTCATAATACAAAGAAATTTAAGTCATTTCTAAAGCTAAAATTGGTCATTGCTAGCTTATGTTCCTCCAGTTATCAGTCTGTTCTAGTCTATTTGGAGGGACATGTTCATCACATCCAGAAAGGGATTTCTATTCGCAGTGTAATGCTCAGATAATGAGGTAGGAAGATATGCAATGGCAGTATGTGAATATTGTTTGTGATGTGTTGTCATGACACACACAGGTGTCTTTTTCCCATTCTGACCGCACTGTGTTGTCAGAATACATTAGGCTATGAATATAAATGTTAATCAAATATTAATCAGCTCTGATACACAGCGGAATTGATGACATGTGTAGACTCTCTATAATCAGCTCTTAGCCAGATATTTATGAGGATGAATGGGCAGAGACGACCAATGTATAATTATTGCCAGAGAGAGAAAGGCAGAGAGAGAGATGCAGCCATCAAAACTGACAATCTGCAACACAGAATATGAGATTCACAGAAAATAAGCAACTGTATTATTCTGAACTAATAAATGTTGTGAAAATATGATGCTAGCATTCATATAGGCCTACATTTGATTTGCCAGCATCTTTAGTCTTTTCCAGAACTAACTTAATTGTCGCAGATATTGACAACCATGCTGATTTTCAGACCCTTCAGCACAAATGCGAGTCTGACATTGCCTTTAGCAGTTCAATAAACAATAAGAAAGTATTAAATAACTTACATTTTAGACAGTTTAGTTTGTCTGTCTTTTGCTCTGTCAAAATAGCTCCAAAAAAGCATTATATACATCTCCCATAATCACACAGTTGTGACGTTGCTAAATGAATCAGTGTTTCTGAACCAATCATGTGAGTGAATGATTCAATGACTCACTTATTAAAAGTCACTTGTTTAGTTCATGAATGAATTGAAAGAATCAGTAGAGTGAATGATTTAATGACTTACAATAAAGAGTCACTTGCTTCGTTCCTGAATGAATCAGTGTTTTAAACAAATCAATTGTGATTCTCACTTATCACTTGTAGAATTGTCGCCACCTACTGGCGTAACGATATAACGTGCAGAAAGAGCAACTGTAAAATACATACTACTAACGCACAGCCTATCTGGAACGCTTAGCCAATCATTTTAATTCATTTTTTTTATGATAATAATTTAAAGCATAAAATCTAATGAGGAGACATTACCATTAGCAATAATTTTTAGTGTTTCTTTTGGGATTCTCAAAATACCCATTTAGTTGTGTGAATAAATCACAACACCAACCACAGAGCTCAAAACAAAAATCTGATTAATATGTGCCATATTCATCAGCCATTTCATTAGTGTCAGAACGGCAAGTTTGCTTAACTGTGTATGCATACTGTAGATTGTGTTCATTAATCAGATCTTCTAAACTCCCTTGAGCTGTAATGTAAAAAAAAAATATTTTGTCAGAGGCAGAAAGTCAGCTAGACTTCTGAAGTCTAATTGTAAATTGAATGTTTACATAATCCCCTCAGCATTCACCAGGGCCACTGTGAAAATCACAAAAGCCTTTTGATTAGCGCTGTACCTTTTTATTTCTTGGCATTGTTACAATGTTTCATCAAAGACTGTTTGGAATGTTCTTGGAGACTGATGGACAAAAACACATCTCGCTACTGAAGTGTGATGAGGAGCTCATAGAGGGCTTAGTGCGAGAAATAAAAAAGTAAACCCATACATAAATCAAAGAGAAATCACAGAATTTCCCCCAAGGAGAAACTTTAAAAAGAACAATGAGATACAAACACTTTAATGCTCCCAGGCCAGAAAAACTGAATAATAGTCTCTCTTTTGTTTAATTATTCATGATGATGTGAGGTTTTTTTTCTCTTTAATCTTCTGTGCAGACTGCAACTTGGCTCAAGTGGTTTAAATAGAATCTGTTTAGCTGTGAAAAAAAAACACTCACGTAATAAAAGTACGGAAACACTGCAAGTCTCATGGTGGTTTCACCTCAGAACTAAACACGAGTACAGTCTGATTCAACTCAAAACACTACTGTGCTTTATGGCTTTCTATTCCTATGTGATTTTGATATGGTGACTCATGTAGGGTTCAAAGCCATTAGGTACAGAGTGGCTTATCAGCAGTGGATATAATCAATCCAGTATATATCCAGAGCAATCGCTACAACACATTTGTTGCAGTTCAGGCACAATTGTCTGTTGAATTAACATGGGCTATAAAACAGGACAGGAGAGCTGAGATGTTTCATTTACAAGAAATACACAGCAACATAATAATGCCTAAATAGATGGCAGTGTTATTGTTTAACAGAGTGTCAGTTTTGAATGTTAAACATGCAATTTGCTGCTCCAGTCTCAGGCTGTCTGGGTGAGCATTGGGATGATGGTATATTCACATTTGCCCTCCCTTGCATCATGGTTTCCTGGGTGAAGAGATGCATTCATTTGAGAATGAAAGGAGAAAAAAAATTAAACAAAAAGATGAGAAAGAGAAACACAGAGAGACGGGGTGGGGGGAGGGACGCGGGTTATGCATGTTGATGAGCGAATGAATGCCACTAATCTGGGCAACAGGCAAAGCAATGCATTTCCAGAATAGAGAAGCAGAGTGAATCGGAGTTCATCCACTAGGGATGCACCTTAGTGGTGAAACACACAGCATCTGTGCCTGCGCCTGCCAGTGACATGAGGGAGACAGAGCGCAGTTGTGATGCACGGCACGTTTACTGTTGGCAGATCCTTCTGGACTCTTGAAGCTTATTAAAGTGGCTTGTAGTACACGATAATCCTTTTGCTAGAAGCCCTACGGAGTAATGTATCAGGCAGATAAGTCTGGCGAATAACCAAAATGCAGTCTATAGCAAGCATGGAATTGAAAACCGACAGTGTGTGAAGAATAAGACAAGTATTTGCAGTTTGATGAGAGGCAGTTTTGATGCAGGCCTTTGCCTTTTATCTGTAAAATATAGTAAAATATATATTCTATTATTCAAAATTTTCCCTTGCCATTAGGAGAAACTCTAAGATGCCATTAAATGAATGTATGTTCTTTTTTTTACTTTATTATTATGTGGATCTCTGGAATTCTTATCGTAGCAGTGAATGGTTCAATTATTTTGTATGACCGATAAACTGGGTATTTCACCATGGCAGCATACCAGTGGTTGTTTTCAAATTTAAATTGACATGAAATGGATTGTGATCATTTTTTTCTTCCCTGTTATTTGAGTGAAACAGATACTGGAACAAACAACAATGTTGGACGGGAGTTGATGTTGTCCATCAGATCATTGAATTTTCATGATTGGATCATTGTCATTTGATAATGGAGTGCTGCAGTAATGATGAATTTTTGTAGGCCAACCCAGAAGTTAGAATCACACTGGTTTCTGCGACAAAAACTCAACAGATTTTTTTCATTGGCTTTTGGATTACTGCAGAAAATAATCTCTGTGATTAACAAAAGTTTATGATTCTTACATGTTTTGTTCATCATGATAATCTTCCCAAATTAACAATACTTTTATGATTTTAAACAAGCTACACTAAGGTCACGACTTTGACGCCATCATTAATCTTTTTACAATTGACAACAAGACAAGTAAAAGCTTTAAAAATGTGGTATTACTGATATATTTTATGCTAAAGAATAAAATGTGAAAATATAGTGAGGCAAACAGGCTTCAGGAAGATGGAACCCGATGGAAAGCTTCAGGTTTTGGCCTATAAAAATATCTCCAAAATATCCCTGCAGCACTCTGTGATCTCATGTGAGCCACAAGTTGTTGTTTATGTTTAAAGATTATAAGTAACATGAATAAAAAACACTGCTATATTCCATAAAAAAATAAGACCGCTTACGTGGAGCTTTATCTCAAACATGAGAGGACAGGCAGCACAGATTTCTCTAGCGATGAAGAGGAGGGTCATCTCACTGGCAGCGTGAGTTAAAGAAAGACGCCGGTTTAGCAGCTGTGAAACTGCTCATTCCCGGAGACTGTCTTTCTGCGCTTGACAGGGTTTTTCACATCTTGCAGACTGATTTTGAAGGATTCCCCAAAAATCTTAACATATCCGCACTTGTCTGTCCAACAGTTTGACACAAGGTGGCGTGATTGAAATCGATTTGATTTGTGCTGTGAATATTCATACCCATATGTTCTTTGCTTTCAAGCTGTTGAGAGGTTTGTAGGTCATTGCCTGTCAGCTCCCAGCTGCAGTGAAATACAGATAAAGCACGCATGCTTCTCAAAACATCAAAGACTGTTCTGTCAAAATGGGGAATTATTATTTTTTTCCTTGAGAGTGAAACATGATTCCTTAGAGTTGTAGAATAAAGCTCCAGCTGTCTCGCACACACTCGTTGGCAGTGCATAGCACCACTGCGTGTGTTGTGTGGGTGTGGGTCAGGGGGGCCCTCAATGGGGGCTGGGGAATCTGGGTCAGAGCCATCTTAGACTTGGGTGTCGAATTCTCAGTTTATGATTAGACGTGTTTAACGACCAAAAGTGATGACCAAAGTGGTGTTGCCCTAGAAAGTAGCAGGTCTTCCAGATTCATGAGTTGGCCATTTCTATTTAATATTTTGCATTAAAGCTAGTACTTTTGAATCTGTCTGTTACTGGTGCAAGTTTACCGTAGTTCCTTATAAGTGAATGTTAGGACCTTTTTGAAGTTTGAGCAAGTAGAAAAACCAGCACTCGGTGTATTTAAGATTTGAGAAGATTTATCACAACATGCATATTGTTTAAATTGGTTATGATTTTGTGGATTGACAGTGCATGTACACAATGATTGCTATAGGAAATAAAATCCAAGCTGTTTGTGACTATATCTAGTATTGATAACTAAACCTGTTAATATCATTTCCATTAATTTAAATATATTAGATGAAAAATTGAGCTTAAATGAAAATTAAAAAATGTTGCATTGACAACTAACTGAAATAAATTAAGCACCAAAATCACAAAAAAAATAAAACTGGATTAAAAATGTATTGTATAAACTATAAAATTACTAAAACTTATAAAATGAAAATGTAAACTGAAAATATAAAATTCTAAATACTGTACTAGTGTATAAACAATACTAAAAATAACATTCTTTTATACTTCTGTCAATATGGGGTGCTGTGTGTACATTAATGAGGAAAAAAAATTAACTTAAATGATTTTAGCAAATGGCTGCAATATAACAAAGAGTGAAAAATTTAAGGGGGTCTGAATACTTTCCGTACCCACTGTAAATGCCATCTGTTCTGAGCCATCAGCACTGCTGTGCATTTTACATAATGCACACCTCAAATATTTGTCCAGCATCATTCCTTTTCATTTTTGTTCATACTTTTTCTCAGTTTGTCACGAATATGTTGACTTTCCAATTCCATCTGGACTTGCACTTTATTTAATCACTGTCTTTTTATTTTGTGCAAAGCATTTTTGCTAAATTCTGCTAAAAAGTGAAGAAGTTTCTTCAGCCTGAGGTTGGTTGGGAAACTGCAACAGCAGCAAATATTGGATGTGACCCCTTTTCAGAACGTGTCAGTGCAAGATGCAAAGGCGAGAAAGCCTCAAAACAAAAGTCTGTTGAGGATTGCGTGAGCCGAGGTTCACCCTTTGGCAAGCTAGTGTCAGCGTATGTTTATTAGATTATGGTAAAATGTGCTGATTCCTCGCTCCACCATGATGAATCGCTGTAATTTCACTGCCTTGACAGGATCTTTTTATTAAATAGTTTGTTGTGTGTGTATTTCACTGTACAGGCCGAGAAGGAAGAGGCAGCAGAAATGGTAGACCCGGGCTTACTGAATGATGATCAGCTAAAAGCCAAACTGCTCCAGTATGGAGTCAAAGCTGGACCCATTGTAGGTTAGTCTTTTTGAGTCACAGTCCTTTTCTTTCAAAACTGAAAATGCAATAAATTCAGCATGTTCTTATGGTGTCTGTGTGTATGTTTTGAGCAGCTTCCACTAGAGCTTTATATGAAAAGAAGCTGAAAAGACTGCTGGATTCTTCAGCACAGGCATCACAGCACAGGGTCAATGGCATAAGGGATGAAGGCCTCTACTCGGACAATGAGGAAGAGGAGGACAAGGACTCCGGTAAGGAGCATCATTGACTCTTGAATAGTCTTTGGGTTGCCTGAATGACTGAGCCATTAATAACAAAACCATGAATGATTAGACTTGTTTGGGTTCACCGGACCCCAATTAGAGGTGTTTACAGCCTCATATAGGATGTGCAGAAAATGCTGTATGCATGTTAACTAGGGATGCACCGATACCACTTTTTTCAGAACAAGACCGATACTTTCATTTTTGGTACATACCGATACCTGTATTTTCACAGCATTTGTCATTTTTTTTACAAATATTGGGTACAGAGACAAAATAATAAAAAATAAAAAAAAGAATCGTGTTAGATGGCTTCATTTAACAAACATATATTTCCTTCAGTTATTTCCACACTTAATTATACCTGTTAAGATGTATTGTATAAGCTTTGGTTACTTTCACTGTTCATTTTAATGGCGCATTAGAGCTGCTCTATTACAGCAGCTCAATACTGTAATCATAAAACATTTTCCTAGAATAAGGCAGGGAATCACATTATGAGTACGCGCATACTATATTAGTGATGTAATTTGCGCACTGTACGCGGATTCTAAATCTAAATAAGATAATTCTAAAGCAAGCTAAACACATGTTTGCATTGGTGCAGAATGAGAGAGACACTTATAGCCTAGTGCATTTCACACAGTGCTAGTTTCACTTTTGCTTAAATCGTGTATGCTTGGCGTTTAAAATAAATGTTGTTTATAGTAAATGCCCCTATAATTTTTGTATGTTTTATATTTACGATTTAGTTTTAGTCCAAATGCATGCGCTAATGGAGCGAACAGCAATCAAGATCATGCAACAGAAGTGCACGCTCGCTCTCTCTCTCTCTCTCGGTCTTCTTAGTCAAATAACTTTAGTAACGTGCACTTTTACTTGCTTGCTTTTGACACATCCGACAGAACTACAACTTTCCAGTGATGTCTGTGAGATATTCACTCGACAAGCTCGTGCATCTGTGCCGCCACGCGCTCAATCCACTCAGCGTGCTCTGCTTATCAGCTCGCGCACATCCGCTATACAGGCGTGAATATTGAATGTTTAACATTATATCAATTACTTGCATGTACTTCATAAACATCCTTAATCTCTAATAACTCCATTCTACTCTCTGTTGTTCTGTTGTCAGTGTTTCTTTTTCTGGACACAGCTCTGTTCACACGCTGTGTAGTATCGGCTTTTGGTATCAGGGCATTTTTACGAGTACAAGTACAGGAGCTCAGTATCGGGCCTGATACCAGTATCGGTGCATCCCTAATGTTAACTAAAGAAGTGGCTCTAAAATTATCTAAACTAACTTCTGAAGACTGGATGTCTTGTGGCCTATCACTACGTTATAGTCAGTTTATTGGCTATTTCATATAAAGGCTGTGTGTCTATTACTGTTGTTGCTAGTTATACATGTTTTACATGTTTATTTAGAGTCAGAGCAGCTTCGGTCTGAAATGATGGCCCGGACAGAGACCAGCAAAACAGCAAGCAGAGTAAGTGGCTTTACATGCACCTCCATCCATCCTTTGTACCCCCCATCCCCCGAGACGTAACATGATTCATCCATTATCTCCACTGCCTGTTCATGTTCTGCTATGAGTGTATCTTGGTCATTAACATGAGCAGAAGTTGTTGCTTGAATCTTTCTGTGTAAAGAGGTCAAACAACCAGCTGTCTGTCAGTTTGGTTGTGTAACATCATAAATTATGTATGTGAGACGGACGCTTTTGATGTATCCTAGAAGCACTTGATGGTAACTCAAGCTGATTTGTTGGCATGATGAGTTTAAAGCTGAAGTGTGTAATTTCAGTGCCTCTAGCATCACAAAATGCTGTGATAAATAATGACAAACAAGATAATCCTGCCCTAAAGAGCCAATGCTGCTGTCTTGGCCTGCTCAGGATACATCAAGGTTCCTAATCTTAAATTCAGTTCTATAAAATATGAGGTTATAAGTCTTAAAATGGCATGAAATTGAAAATCATAATATCTATTTTATAAATACATGTTCATAAATACATTTTGGTGACCGTGTGTATTAACACAAACCATTTTCAATACATAATGAATAATACATGTCTTGAGTATTTTACATTTGCAGTTACCATGTTTTGCTGATTAGCAGTGTGAAGTCCTCATTAAATGTGTGCCGCAGCCCGTTTAATTAAGCAAAAGATTCTAACATTTGAGAGAGTTTCTTAATTATTTGTTTTGAGGTTATGTCAGTTTGTTCTGAAAGGACAGTATTTTTGTTGTGCAGATCTCAAAATGGTCTTCAAAAAAGCCTTAATTTTGATTTGACAAATCCTGCAGATAGCCTATAATCAAACTGAGCAGTTGGTGCTGTGCGTCTATAGCCACCCAAGTAGAAAAGGCATATATTGTTATTTTTGTCATTATTCTTAAGAAAGTAGCTTTAGCTAAATAAATGTCAATTTTGAGCTATTTTCCTTCGATTTCCTCTTTGCAGCTATTTTGTATGGGCTTTATTCAATTTCTGCAACTTGCATCTAACGTAATTGCACCCACTCACCAAAAAGAGAGGCAAGCTCTACTAACAACAATGTTTAGCACTGCAGAGCCTCATTGTTTCAACCTACAAGAAGTTGTTTCTGCTTATAAAGCTGGGCAGGGAAAAAAACATAAAAATTGATGTTGCAGTTTAATGTCTCTATGTTTTTCAGTAGTGTGAACAATGGTACCACTCTGTGGTTAAAATTGGTATGGCATTAAATTGCAATGCATGTCATGCTGCAATTTTTACATCCACAGACAGGGACGTTCAGTCAGAGCAGAGATTTTTACCCACGCTGCTTTGTGCCCTCAGCTGGATTCATAAATGTACAGTATGAACATTTCCTTTTGGCACAGATGGCACAGGGATGCTTTTCTGCAGGGATAAAGGGGTCGACAGTACTGTAATTCTGTTTCTTCCACAGATTGTTTTGTGCTGTGATTAATTTTGCACTTTTTTTTTTGCACTTATTGGTTTTTAGAAAACATTGGATGCTTTTCAGTTCTGCTTATTCAATTTAGTTCACTTGCAGGGAAAGATTCAGCACAAGTCTTCAAACGCCACCCAGAATGGGTCTTTGAGTCAAAGCGGGTCCCCGTACAGATCCTTCAGCATCACTCAGATGGTGGAAGAGGGGAGTGTGTGTGTGTGTGTGTGTTTAAACTGAGAATCTCAATAATTTGGGGATGATTGTCAGTGGTTTTGTTTTGGTCTGTAAGTTATGTGAGTCTTGGGGGTTTATTTTTGCTGTGGGATTGTATTTTTGTCAACAGATTGAGACCAGATTCAGTCCTCAGTCAAAACAAACAGAGATTGAGAGGCGATCTGGTCAGAGAAGCGAGCAGACGGTGGACAGCAGGGCCCTGCGGGTTTGTGGCTACAGATATGTTTGCTTTAACAGCATCACTCAACAAATCTAACAAAAGCTCTGGTTTTCTCATCAGGACTTCATGAGACTGGATAAAGACACCATGACTGGCAGATCTCTTTGTTTAACGTCTCCATCATTCCATCAGAAACGAACTGTCACAGTAACTGCGTTTTCCCCTCTCAGCCTTCCTCTTCTCTCCTCAGGGTCTGCCTCTTCGTTTGTCCTCACTCTTTCGGTGGATGTTTAATTCAGAAGACATGCTTCATTGCCAGACATCTAAGGGGCTTTCACACTCCCTCTGTCCTTTGGGAAATGCTTCCGAGTTCTCTTTAGTTTCTTCCTTTTCTCCCTTTATTGCACTGGCTTTCCAGATGTGAGAGCTCTACCCCCTGTGATATGTACAAAGGAAAAAGCCAGGAAAATGCATCTTTGTAATTTTAGAGAGAAGGTATTATTTTTTTTCCCTCTTATTTTAGGTAAAATGGTAGTGTAAAGTTTAACCACAGCATTGATGTTTGGTAGATCAGACCGAGAAAAGAGCTTATAAGTTCTATCAAAGGCCTGGCATTCTTGTTTCTGACTCATGTTTCTTATATGTTAATGCTGTGCACATGAATGCAGATCACATGATGCTTAAGCCCTGTACGGCTGAGCTGCACTGTTACACTCTTCACCTTGTGCCATATTTCAATCCAGAAGCATTTGGAAAAAGTTACTGAAATGTAGGGTTGGGTATCATTTGAATTTTATCGATTCCTAGTTTTGATTCCAATAAGATAAAAAAAAATTAAGTCAAACATTTATTGTCGTTTTAAATTTTTTTTTTTTTTTAAATAGCCTTTGTGCACAGCCAGCCTTGTACTCTTCTAGGTTCAAAAAACTGTCGTCCATAAAATGCGATGCACAAATTCGAACATCTGGGTTGTGCTGTTCTGTTGTAAATAAATCTTAACCAATTGTAACGGGCACTTATGTCCGTCTTGATAGGGGTTACATATCCTGTGACTCTGGATGAATGGTGACAAAGGATCTTTGTCCTTGCCTCCAAATTCAATACGCTCCGTACTATTCTGATTAATATATTTGGGCTAAAATGAGGAGGGCTCCAGGCTTTATATTGTCACGGGCCTAACCTGGAGTTTACAGCACATATGAGAAAGCCCTAAACCATCAAATATCTCCCCAACCTCACAATGTCCTGCAGCATAGAAGGGAATGCCCCTACCCCAGAACCAACAATAGCCTAAAGTCAAATTACCAGCAGTAACAAGCAGACGAATATTCACAAAGTAAATTGACTGGTTCAGAATCAACTATTTAATTTCTGGAAATCAAAAATTAAAAGAAAGTTTTAGTCATCTTAATCCGTCAGAGAACATAAACACAGAATAAACAAATATAAACTGAGAAAATAATGACAAATGTATCAAAGATACAACCCTTGGGCCCTTTTAAGTAAACGGTGTATACATAATTAGGGCTAATTGACTCTTAACTTTTATAAAGAATATCTCTTTGGATTTGAGATTAGTCTTTGCAGCTTTACAGATCTTCTTTATGCACCAAGAGCTTGTAACACTCCAAAGAGAAAGGAAAACTTAATCGCATCATATGACCCCTTGTGTGTAGTGAGGAGCGGAAGAGGGGAGACAGACAACACGCATAGCTTAGCGTTCTGACAGTTTCATTTCGCTCCCATCGAGTTAAAAACACAAATAAATGCACAGCCATTTGCACTCTGCATCGAAAACATATATATGAACGCGCTGTTGCACCTCTGAGAACTTTTAAGGCTTATTCTGTGGTGTTTCTATAAGCCTTTTGACGGGTTGTCACAGTGCTGTAAAAACGGTTATGCTCACCAAGTGAATGAATCGCGTTTGTGCCAAACTTATTACAAAGCAAAAACAAACACTCTTCTTCGATCCATGAACGTTTCTCTCAGTTATTGTGCGCGCGATGTCATCTCACAGTCTGAAATGTCTGTCATAGCAAATCAACACATGTTGTTGTGAATAATTAAGCGAAGCGTCTTCTCATAGGATAAGAACACGCAGTTAATAATTTAATAGACATCGACGCATCATGATGTACTATTAGTCCATTGCCACGTCACAATTTGTGACGTCAACACAATGTAGATTTTAAACTCGGAAGATGAAAATAGTGCAAAAAAAGCTTAAAATTAACCAGTTTTGTCCCAACAGTTACAATGCTAACATTGTCTTCTATGATGTGCAACACAAACACCTCTGCTAAAATCTCAGAAAAAGTAGTCTGGGGTTTCATGACCCTTTAAGTAATATGTTGTTTATATATTAAATATATGTGTATATATAATATAACTAGATAGTAAAGTTCGTAGACAAACTTTAAGTTGACTTGAAAAAGCCTAGCCAGAAAGTTTGTAATAGTTTTAAAGATTAAAGTTAGAATGTTTTGAAGGCAATACAGTCTATCAGAAGAACAGACAGAAAAACTTTTAGGGTGGTTGCTAGGGTGTTTGTAGGGTACCTGGGGTAGTTGCTAAGGTATTGCTATGTGGTTGCTAGGGTACTTGGGGTGGGTGCTAGGCTGTTGCTCTGCAGTTGCTAAGGTACCCAGGCTGGTTGCTAGGGTATTTATGGTGGTTGCTAAAAGGTTGCTATGCAGTTGCTAGGGTATTCTTGGTGGATGCTAGGGTGTTACTAGGCGGTTGCTAGGCTACCTGGGTTGGTTGCTAAGGTGTTGCCATGCGGATGCTAGGGTAACCAGTGGTTGCTAGGGTGTTGCTATGCGGTTGCTATGGTACCAAGAGTGGTTGTTAAGGTGTTGGTAGGTGGTTGCTATGGTACCCAGGGGGGTTGCTAAGGTGTTGCTAGGTGGTTGCTAGGGTACCTGTGTTGGTTGCTACGGTGTTGCTATGTGGTTGCTATTTCTACAATTATTCCAAAAGGGCTTTTATTCCTAATAAAGTATAAACTATAGCAAATTGTAAACACATTTTTTTAGCAAAGTTTTGTTGCTGATATGTTGATAATGTTTAGTCCTTAGAAATTTGTGTATGAAATATGATACAGTAGGCTAAGTTAAGTGCTTTTGTTTTTTGCTAATTATTGTGATTTTGTCTGAATAAAATAAATGAGAATTCAGGGCCTAAAAACCTTATGAAAATCTCATTTCAGAATAAAGGCTTAATCAGAATATTGACCTTAATCAGAAAATGATGTACATATAAACATGGTCAGATTTTCTTGTTTTATTTATTTTATTATTTTTTTATTTGATCTCCCACAGTGGCAGTAAAGATTCCCACAGTGTCATTTTCAGCGTCAGAACAGAATACAACTGCCCTGAAAGAGTTTGACCAGCTACTGAGAAGGGGTGAGAAAGTGATGATTTAAGGATTATTTTTGCATGCTTTATTTGTAAAATATAGTGTCATTAAAGGTTAATAATGAACACTTCCTTTCTCAGTCTTCCCAAAGATCTTCTCATCCAGTCTGGTCCAGCATGAGATGGTGGGAAACTACAGCCACCTGTTGACGGTACCAGGAAGCGAGCCTGATCTGGAGCCGTACATGCTGCTGGCACACATTGATGTAGTGCCGGCCGATGAGGCGGATGGGTGGGATGCTCCTCCTTTCTCTGCTCAAGAGCTCAATGGCTTCATTTATGGACGAGGAACCATCGACAATAAACAGTCTGTGATGGTACAGTGAATCAGCACTGCATCCTTTTTCACATCTGCTCAGTCCAACCTGATGCTAACTGTAACAATGTGTGTTTTAAAGGGGATCCTTCAGGCGTTGGAATACCTGCTGGAACAAGGTTACACTCCTCGGAGAAGCTTCTACATTGGCTTGGGTCATGATGAGGAGGTCCGTCTCAGTTCTAATCATAGTTTATCTGCTAAAATCTCAGCGGAAAGCTTGTGTTAATGCAGCTGTTAATTTGGTTTTCTCAGATCAGTGGCCCACAAGGTGCTGTGAATATCGTGAAGCTCCTGAAGAGTCGTGGGGTGAAGCTTCTGTATGTTTTAGATGAAGGTCTCACGATCATGGATGGTGTGGTAGATGGCCTGATCGGACCTGGTGCCCTGTGAGACCTCCCGTTTTACTGCATTAATATGATCATTTAGATATTGAACTCGTGTGTGATTTATGTCTTGTGTGTTTTTGTAGAATTGGTGTGAGTGAGAAAGGTCAGGCCACAGTAAAGCTGAGTGTCAGCACTCCTCCAGGACATTCATCCATGCCTCCCAGAGAAAGCAGCATTGGCATCTTGGCTTCAGCAGTTACAAGGCAAGAAAAAAAATATTTACTGTAATATGAAAACTGTGAACATAATCTTAATTTAAATATTTTTTGCACCTCTGATGGGTCCGTTCATAGTTGACATGATCTTGCATTTACAAAAAGCAAGACAGAATGGAATAAACCCAATGCAAAAGCCATAATCAATGTCCATCTGGCACATTTATGTAAAAAATAAAAAAAATAAAATCTTACTCTTAAAATTGTATTACACTGTATTCTAGCATGTTATAAATTAAAATACCATGAATCTTCTTTGCATTTATTTTTCCATTCTACTTATTTAGTTACATTGTGTGATTTTTTTTTTTTATAATTAAAATTAATATTTCATATTCATAAATGCAAATTTACTATTAAAAACATATGGTCTCATTAAATGAAGCCAGGCTCTCCACTCTAAATAAACAAGCTAATTTTACTAAAGAAATATGAAACTTTTAAGAAATATTTGTGAGCTTTGAAAAGTATGTATTTTAATTTGTTTTATACATTTTATATATTATTAATTCTCCCTTGAATTTTTCTTTTCCTTTGTATCTGATTTTGAAGTAATTTTATGCACATTTTTGTATAATGTTTAATTTTTCTAAATGTATTATGTTGATGTTTACTGATAAGAAATCAAATAAATATTTTTAACAAATGCATAAATTAATGAATACATAAATCATACATAAAGTAATTATGTAAGTAATTCGTTGTGTTTTGGCTAAAAATGACCCAGGTTGGAGAAGAACCGGATGCCCAATCTTTTTGGTCATGGTCCAGAGCGTGCCACATTTGAGCATCTGGCACATAAGGTAATAAAACAAACATGATAGATATAAAATGCTTATGACACTCCTACAAATAATAAATTGTTTTATTTATACTTTCTCTTTTGCCTTCTAGTTTGGCTGGCCATACAGAATGGTCATGTCTAATCTGTGGCTCTTCTCTTCGCTGCTCAGCAGGTAGGCCATGT